GACGATTATGTGCAACACCTACGCCAGCAAGTCGGAACAAATTAAGCCAATTTGACGGCGAGGGCTGCTCTAGAGATCCATGCACAATGCATCTATAAAATAAACTGCCGATAACTTCCTTCAGCACAGAGCGGAATGAATTACGCAGTAAAATGTAAGTTGCGGTGTTGCTTAGAGCAGAAAAAGTAAATCAGTGAGGTTGAGAGAAAACTGAGCTAATTTTGTGGAAACAGCTCTGGGGAAACCAGAGCGAAAACTACCTACATTAGGCTTCTATGACACTTACTATGTTTCAAGGCGACTTAAAAAAAAAAAACGTTTTCAAGCCAATTTTTGATACCAAATTGACTATTTATAAAATTGATTCGAAGGACTGATTATGCAACTGGTCTGTAGTACTGCAATTTATAAAAATGCTCGGTCGAAACTTCCGCTTAGGATTCCGTGAAACTTTGATGAGGCAGCCTTTATAAGCTGCCACGTAGTTTTCGGTGAAAAATGCTGGAACGGCGTGTCGTGAACGGAGTCATTTCTCGAAAATTGTTCTGGACAGAGAGAGGATCGAACTATTCCTCTTCATGTCCGGGCGCAATGTGTTAGCACTACATCACCGGTCCTTGTGTTCCAGGTTCAGCCTGACAGCACATCTACTGTGTATCTGCTTTTCAAGGCAACATATCCGTTCCTTTTATTCCCTTTTTTCTTTGTGGCGGCTTCATAGCCGGCTTTTTGCGGATTTTCCGCAGCTGAGGTCACAACGATGAACATTCTAACATACTCGTTTTCTCTTACAACAACACTGATTGTTATAAAAGTTATTTAGTATCAGTACTAAGATGGGTACTGTACTTTATGAAAAATTATAAGACTCTCCTCACAAAGCGTTATTCATTCAGGCTTAGCGGTGCCAGCTCTTTATCTTGCTGCAGTCATACTTGCCAGCATTGAATTTCTGCGCAGTAAAATGCTGCTGCTTCCTGCCGCACCATCAATCTCCATGGCAGTCATCAGTAGGTTTCTTTCATAAATATTTCATGAATAGATTCCCTGAATGAATGGCATAAAAAAAGGTTGAGCGATTTTGTCAGTGCGCAGGAACTGCTACCATAACTCAGGAACTGAAAATATGTAGTTACATATTAACATCAACAACAGCGGAGAAACCGTGGGTTTATGACAAATTCAGTGCAGGTGGGCTCGGAATCTAGATGGCTATGCCTTAAAATATAAAATCGAAAAGAAATTGTCTGAAGAGTAGAAGCGATTGCCTCTGTAGCATTTTTATTCTTTTTCTTCTTTAATTGACAAAATTTGGGTTACAAAATGAAGGAACCGTCAAGAAATCTGCTGCTGAGAGGGATGGAAGAAGAAGCAAGACTTAGTTCATGCTTTTATCACGGTGAGAACAGTGTCGCTGAAGCTTTCAAGGAAGCAAGCGAACGAATACGATTTGAAGTAATATACTCTTTTCGTAATTTCTGTGCATTTATGCCTGAATGAGTAAATAATTGGCTGCACTTGGGTTTCCAATATGATCGCACGCCCAGCTCGGTCCCGTCCAGTGGAGCTAAAAAAATGTCAGCAGCTTTCTGCTTGAGCTTTTACGTGGCCATATGAGGAAACTAAATTTAGTTTTTTAAGGTCGTGCTTGAACGGAAGAAGATCCTCCTAAAATTCTTGCTTTTTAATTCATCTGGTTTTCCATTCAGAAAATTGCCTGCCCGAACTTCCACATTTCTATGAGGGTCGCACACGGCTTGTAGTTGAGCTAATCTGAGCTGCAAGGAAGTGTATTATCCCGCCTGCAAAGAATCAGTCTAGAGACTGTGTATCAGGGTAAAAGATCGTTTGCAGTGACGAAACGAAATTAGTCGGAAATAATGAAATAAATTAAGCGAGCTTATCGAACCATGTTGTTGACATATCGTTTTCTGATGGCGTGTTATTAATATTTTTGATTTTCTAAAGGAGTAATTACAATGCTTTTAGTATTTTTATATTCTAATATGCAATGCTAGCTCTACATAAACGGATTTAGGGCGGTTTCCTTGAGGAAGGGGGAGCGCAACATGGGCGATTTTCCTCTCCGCCTTCCCACCACCCCCTCCTCCCCAGTCTGTTCGCCACTATGTCGGAAGCTCCACTCTCTTCCCCCTCTCCTTCCCCACCCCCTCCCCCACTTACCTCTCCCAATAACCGGAAGGCGGAAGGGGGAAAAGTGGGGCTCCTGCGGGAGAGGGGGAGAGGGGAGAGAAGAAGGAGGAAAAGGGGAGAGCGGGCGGAGCGACAGGCCCATCGCCTGTATCCTCCAATGTAACTATAGCTGTGGTAGGCGTGTGGGAGCATCTGGCAACGTCACAAACAGAGGCTGATGGTCCAAGCGGTCTTAGTATTCTTGGTCCTGGTGTATTTTAATACTTCTGCTACTTCCAATAGTCTTATATTTGCTTTGTAGGGATGTATTTGATAAGTGGTGAGCTACTAGTCTGTAGCGGAGAAGTTATTAACAAAATTCAGACAATGCGGTAGAACAGGCTTCCCTCATCTTGTCTGATATGCTTGTAAAAAAGACGCAGTGCGGCTCGAGCTGTTCACGGTACGGTACAATAAGTAGGCATAATTGAATAAAAGCAAAGTAAATGAAAGGGAAATTTAAAAATAGTGATATATATATGTCACTATTTTGATTTCGAAAGCCAGTTGCGAGTTAGGAAGCTGAAATTTTCAGAGAATACGACAGTTTATGTGCTGCGAGTTCAAGCAATCTCACTAATATGTGCTTCTGCTGGTTGTTGCTACTTTGCAAAAATTTTCTATTGAATCAAATACCCAGCTGCTTAACTCATTTCTGCTCAGACCCCACCTCACCTTCATGGAATATTCCCGGTCGTAATTAAGGAATGGGTGCCTGATTCCAGGACACTTACTTAAACACTTGAATACTTGAGCGTCTGTATGTCATCGACGTTCGTTATCGCACCATCGATGTAGCTGGCAATTTTTCCATTCAGCTCATTGTTGCGTTCTCCGATCCATGTGGTACCGCATAGGCGTATCATTGGCTCTCTCCAACCCAGGATACAACAGCTTAATATGCATACGTGTATTACAGAAGCCATTGCTGCGCTTGGGTGTGAGTCCTGCTGCAACAGTGCGAGCAGCATGCATTGCTATAGCAGTTAATGTGGCCGCAGCGCTGGCTGAACCACCTTTGCTAATGCCACTCAGAAACAGTGTTCCGATAGGAGAGGTATGATCTTAACTTCTACACTGCAAATCACGCATGTATTAGCACTGCGTGTGTATACAATGGAG